TTTTCATTGTCACTTTTATTATGAGTAATAAAATATTTCAATAAACACAAACAATTGATTAGTGAGAAAATTACTTTTATTTGCCTCAAGTATTCTCTAATTATAACTTAATTAGTTAATGGAAATCAATTAAATTATAAAAAAAAGGTGGCAAGAAAAAATGTTCCCTATATATACTAAGACTTTTGGCGGGAAAATTTGACAAAATTTGCACAGCGTTTCCCCTAACAACTATCTGGACAAAAAATTCAAAATGGCTACCCTTATGATTTCCCGCCAAAAATCATTTGAACATCACCCCGTGCAAAAAAAATTGAAAGTAAAACGCCAATTCCTTCCTTACTCGTAAAAAAGAATCCGAAAAAGATATTTTAACCTTGTTGCCTTTTTTCAATCAAATTTTGAACCGAACAAATCTCTTGCCGAACATTTTGGTTTTTTAATTTTTTCTGCACGAGATGCTGTCTCGGATAAAAACCTTTTTCAACCGATTCTCGTTTGTACCACAGGACCAATGGAATAAAAAAACTAAGAAATTGACCTTTCCAAAACAATCTGTGACAACAGTTATGAAGTTTTGTAGAAGTACAGACAATTTTAACTGCTGTCTTAGCTACGTCCTAGAGCTTCGAAATACTACCGTGAATTGTTTGTGATTTTGAATAAAAATACTAAGAAATTTACCGAACCTAAACAATCTGTAACAACAGCTATAAAGTTCTAGAGTACAGTGCAGGCAATTTTAACTGTTGTTTTGGCCACAAGAGCTTGTAAATACGACTCTCAGCTGACTTTGAGGTTTATTTTAATTTCACCCAACGCTTCAACAATTCAGAAATCAGATCAACGTATTTGTTTAATTCGTATCAACGCTTTGTCCTGTGGTACAACGATTGCCGGCAGTAAAAGATATCATCCGCTTACAATTATTTTTCACAAACCAACTTATCATAAAACCCAAGTGCCTGGTCAAAGTAACTGAAGCGATTAAATTCAGAAAGTTTAATCCCACCGTTATAAAACTCGAACTTTTTGGGAAATTCAGTAAACCGAAACAAAGGTTATATGGACCACAATGAACACAACGAAATGAAAAGGCGAAACAATTCTGAAAGTATAGCATAGCTACGAAAACACGCATCAAAAATTATATACAAACGGTTGAAATTTGTTCGATTCCAAAATACTTTCTCAAATTACATTATAATGTTGAGACAATCATGGAGCCGCTCGTGAATAAAGCTTAAGTGTTCTCAATCAGTTCAATCGTAAATTTATTGTTTTATTGACATAAAATAGCAACAGGAAAATAAAACATTAAGCTTTCGAAAAGACTGCGTATTCTAAAACGCGTACGAACTGAAAACAGAACTTCTTTAGAAATCACATCAGAAAATTAGTTAATTTTGGATTTGTTTAGCACAAGAAAACAAAAATAACAACGGAATTGTGAAGCCAAATTAATTATTGCAGGTTTTTATTTTATCGTCTTGTTGACATATAACAAAGCGTTTTATGACATAACAAAGCCAAGAAAATAGAACAGGCTCTACATAAATCTGTTGATTTGCAAACGAAATTAAAACGTAACTTTTCTTAAAATCAGAGGAGAAATAATTTCCAAATTCTTTATATTCGCTATGTATACAATACTTCGATTGTTTTATTTTTTCTGCGTGTGTTCTTGTGGTCGATATAACTGGAAAATTGAAAATAGTGACGTAATCTACACGAGCCAGGCATTTCGAGTTTTACGACAAGCACCAAATGTATGACAAGAGAATATAGGCATCTATAAACAACACGTACGTTGTAAAAACAAATTTGTTTTCATCAATAAATGGTTGGAACCCTGGAGTATTAGTAGTTCGTAGAGTGTCTGAATTGTCGGGTTAAGCGTAGATGTTAAAATTAACGAGCAATTGTTCATAACTCGATCAGGTTTCGAGGTCAAGTGAAAATGTTTTGTGGAATTTTTTGGCTCGTTTCATCGTGGTATTCAGTTGTCGGCTGTTAAGTTACACTCTCAAGTGATGTTTGTAAACAGCGATTATTAAAATACTTCAGTAGTTTCGATTCGTATACGAGTAGGAACTGAAAATATCAGTTCTGTTTCAAGTTAAGATTCCTTCTTTGGTTTTGTTGAGCTCGAGAATGATCCGTTTGTAAAAATTAACGTGAGGGTGCTTGTTCCAAGTTAGTGAGGTCAGTCGCTACTGTAATCAATTCCATGGTTCGTTATCACATGGTGTTCAGCAAAGCCGTCATTATTGCCAATTGAAAATGTTTTTTTTATATGTTAGGGTTGAATCAGTCTGGGTTCCACCGGAAAAAAAAAAAAAAGAAAGAAAAGGAAAAACTATGACCTACTATGATGTGGAAAAATCTGTTCTCTATATCAGAAAAAGTCCATATTCTCTTGTCAACTACAGTTACACAATTGATGGAGCAACTGAAGTTGCTACCTTTCGGTAGCGACCTATAAAGCACCGACTGTTTTGCAGACATGACAAATTAGATCTTGAAATAACAAGGCTAAATAATCTAATCCCCGATTTTTCAAGAGCTAAATATATCGAATGAACTATAAAATATTTCATCGATTTTTATGTGAATAATTTATAAAATTGAATCAAGACAATTGCGAATTTGCTCCGACCGAGATAAACTACTGTAAATTTAATTATCGAAAGTTGAAGAAAAAATTGAAGTGATCGCAATCAAGTTTGGAATAATGTCCGATTAAGGTCTGCAAAAGAGTCGGCAAATGGTGGCTGAAATTTTAACAAGTGATTTAAACTGTGTAAATTCAAAGTATTTCGTTCCATCTTCCAGTCTTCAATTATCGTCATTTTAATCCAACCAGACGATCGGTATCCGATTTAATGAACACAAGTGATACTACAAATTAGGTACTCTCTTCCATTCCCCAGTTTCCAATTAAGGTCTTTTTACTCCCATCCAGACAATTACAGTACGATTTCATGAACCAAGATTAATGTTCCCCTGACAAATAAAAGTACCTTCTCCCATTACACAGTCCTTAAGCAAGGCCATAATTTTCTATCCGGTCCATGATCAGTGTGCTATTATACCTTGGCAAACTTACACATGGTTCAGCCACCATTTGCACGAAGTGATCTTACAAATTAAAAGTTCTTATCTTTGAAGAATTTCCTCCTTACTCGTTGACTCCAGTTTGCCGCCTCTCCAGCTTTGTTGCTCTTCTTCCAACCCTCTATGCTGGTTAGCTTTCTTGAATTCCTGGAAACAGAAATGAAAAAATTATAGATCTGCAAATCTTGAATGTTTAAAAGCTTAAAAAGACTAAAACGCACTACAGATACTAGAGAGGCTACGAAACTGGAAAATAACATTTTCAAAGCAAAAATTTGTCATAAGAATAGCAACTATTGTTTCTTGAAAGCACACCGGCACAGGTAAATAAAGTGGCCGGGTATTCTGAAGTTGCTCCTGAAAGATTCCTCCGTCTAAACCCTGAATTACTCATGTGTATTTTTAAACATAGAGTCTTTATGCAGCGTTTGGTTCAGGCGCGTTAGACGACGAAACTGTCCGAAATTTCAGCTTACTATTACAGAGCATTAGTCTTTGCAAGGAGCACACCATATTGGCCGCCCTTGAGATATTGCAAACTGAAGACAGAATTAACGATACCGCTTTGCTGTCCTCAGTTTCGAGATGAAGCGACGCTCAAAGCGACCAGCCAGACGACGTGTTTACTCACTTGGGTAACAGTTTGACACTCGTGTGTCTTTCTGACCAAAATTACGGGAATGTTTAATAAAAGCTGTGCTTACCTTCGGTTGGAATAGAACGAGGACTTCTTTCTACACGTCAAGTCCTTCCAGCATCAAGGATCTTCTTCCTTCGGGACTAAAATTGGTCCTCACACGAACGACACGTCTTCACTCATCAACGAACAGTTTAAAATGTGCAAAGCTCCAGGACTGCTATGAATATGGATTAGAAACTCAAGCCAATAGCTCACAAACATATCCGACGAGGGAATTTGTTTGCACGCTTTTTCTCCCAGCGAATCGTCAATCGCGAATGAAAGACTTTGTGCCGTATAAGAACTTGTTATGAGCATTCCATCTTGTTTTTGCATACGGTGTTGTTACTATTAAATTCCATAGTTCTCAAAAGGTGTTTTTTTCTTACTTTTTTTCTCGTTTTAGAACAAATCAGTGCTGGAATAAAAACCTCAAATTAAAATTCACCTTTTAACAAAATACGATTTGCTCCTAAGCAGGAATCAAAGCAACTTCTGAAAAATTAATTAATTAAAGCGAAAGTGAAAATGAGCGTTTTTTTTTTTCAACGCAAGGCAAGAGTATACAAAGGAGAAATTACAATTAATTCCGTAGAAGTTGCCTCGTTACGGCTAACGGTTAACCCCATTGAGACCCTCTTAAACTCCTAACAAGAAAGAGACACCGCCAAACTTTCTATTGCCTTATAACTGACGAGCCAGAATCATGTTGAAGAAAAATTAATGCCGGCCAGCCAAGCATAGGCTAAAATTCGATAAGAATACCCGATAGTCGACATGAGTCACCGAGAGTTCACGAGAGCTTAGAGAGTCACCGAGACTACACGAAACATGACGCCGGGAGTCGCCGAGCGTGTACGAAAGTTGACGAGAGCGCAAGTAATCTCGTTCCCAGATCTCTTGTGGCTTCGTCCACAAGAGATCTGGGAACGAGATTAGAGCGCAAGAAGGTTCACGAGAGTAGCCGAGAGCGAATGCAAGTTTACGAAAGTAACCGAGCACATACGAGAGTCTACAAGAGTCACCTCGTGCACCCTCGGATGACTGCGAGAATTTTCCAATTGAATCGCACCCGTGTTTAATTTGTGACACGTTCGCTATGTAACACTTTTCGCTCAAATTTCTTTTGATCTTGTTTATCAGTGGTAAGCTTAAGATTCATTAGACAACTAGTCACTCAACTTAAACTATACAACATACACACCTGCTTCTCTGCATATGTACTTCATAATTGCAAATGACTGGCCAAGCACTTTGCCGTCTGGAGTTATGATAAATGGCACTTGTCCGAATGGAGACCGGCCAGCTAGAAACAAAAAAACAGCGCAATAATAGATTAAAGAAAGGTAAAATCTGCATACGAGCTAAGTGGCTCATTAGACCGGAGCTTATCCCGGTTTCTGTAGCATGAAGCGACTAGGGGTATTTCTACTCCCCCCTGGATGGGATGCTAGTCCATCGCAGGTTTACCCCCAGCATTAAATCTGCCAGTACCCATTTATAAACTTGGGTGGAGAGAGTCACTGATAGAGTAAAGTGCCTTGCCCAAGCACACGACAATCTCCCCGGCCAGGGTTCGAACCCGGACCGCTCGCACGGGGGTCCAGCGCACTACCATGAGGTCACTGCGCTTAAGCGGAGTTAAATAGCGGTTAATGATAGATTCTGAGGGGAAAAGAGAAAAAAACGTTCTAAAACAAACAAAAAACATTTCACACGGTTTCAGGTACTATTTTAAACAATGTCATCACTAATAAATGATCGTTGAATGGAGTCTACAAGATTACTTCGAGCATTTCTGCGTTTTGAATTATGGACTCCTCATCACTTTTGATTTTAAAGCCTGTTTGTAAGAATATTTATAACATATTGAATATAAACGTGATGGAAGTAATAAAGTTAAAGTTGAAGTTAACGTTTTTTTTTTCATATCGCGGTCCTGGTCCAGTTCTGCCCCCCTATCTGTCACGCAACGTTAGCGTGACTAAGAGGACAAATGGCCGTCCGTGGTACTGAGTTGTAGTCTGCGAGCATTCTCTCTTAATTAAGCTCGATGATCGGCGAGGGAAAAACGCAAACCAGGAGCAGAGGCGAGTGTTGAAACCGCCAGCCGCGAGTGAGTAGCACATTTTCGAAAATTTGAAATGACTCTAAGCACATTGGGCTAAAATTAAGGGTGTTTTCAACAGGTTATAGTGTTGATTTGGTTATCTGTTATGCTTGTTCAACAATGTGTTTATGTGATACCTTAACCTATATTAACAGCTCTCTTTGAATAGCGTAAGTATCAAGCTTTTCGAACGTAAGGGGCAGGGGGTAGGAAACAGAAAGGGAAGTCCACTTCTCTCCTCCTCCCCTCCCCCCCTCCCCTCCCCTCAGTAAGGCCTGCTTTTTGCAAAGAGAAATTGCTGAGTCATCGTGACTATAAACTAGTAGGTAGTATTTCGACCTAATGAATTGGCTTATCGTTGGCCAACATGTACAGTTTTGTCGATCGTGGGCTTAATTTGTGCAGATTACGACTTGTTCTCGCTTCCTTTACGTGTCGTGACTTAAAATACCTTTAATTTTCATAAAGACAATTCCACTATACGACGAGTCACGACAACCTTTATCTACTTGTTTGACAAAAATCTGAATATTTAATTAGTCTATCGCACTCGCACTCGTCCGAAATACCACTAGTCCAAGAAAACGGTTAAACCAAATTATGGCACAGTCCTTCAATACTTCTGGGAAGTCCATAGAGACCTTACCACGGTTTTGGAAGCCATCTTGACCGCTAGGCAACACACGGCAGATATTACGATGTTTGCGTGCGAATCCGAAGGCAAATAACTTTCTTTAATTCAAATTCTTAATGATTTATGCACAGTAAAGTTAAGATGCTAGAAAAAGGATTGCACTGGCCAAATTTGAGGGAAGTTGCTGAGTTAGAAAGCGTCAAATCACGTTTTAAATATTCCATACATTTGTTTATGATTTATTTTTCCCACGAACTAGCGCGATCGTGTAAGCCGAAGGCAGGTTCGCGGGAAAAAAAAATAGACAAATGTATGGAAAATTTAAAACGCCTACCCGTCAAGATGGCTTTCAAAACCGTGATAAGGTGTATTCTTTCAGAGAGTTCACCATTGCCGATCTCAATATATCAATGTGCAATGAAGAATCAATACGATACATGTTCTACTTACTGGCTTTTTCTATAGCCCATTCGTCTTTTGTCAAACGGATATCTTCGAATTCTATGTTCGCAGCAGCGAAGGCGAGCCTGGCAAGTTCTCCTCTACCGCGAACATTGAAGTAATACAACTTGTAGCCGGACATTTCCACAGCTGAAATTCGTTGTTCGAGCAGATCGAGTGTGGAATATTTACTTGATGTGTTTACCAGTATGATCCGGTATCATGCGGTACTATTCGTTTAATGGGAACGTCACGCAACCGAACACTTAACCTTTGCAGCTGTCATTTAATTGATTAGTCACGCGGCCGGCCCCTCTCACGCCCCCTCCAAATCTCTAAGGGAAAAGTCCTGGGAACAAGGTTCACCCCCGCCCTCCATTCGTGATGTCGGGGGCGGGGGGGGGGGGGGGGGGGGGGGTAGTAGAAACACTCCTAGTCGCTTCATGCTACAGAAACCGGGATAAGATCCGGCCTGATGGGCCACTTGGCTCGTATGCAGATTTAACCTGTAACCAATTTACAGCCCTAAACAAGTTTTGGTCGAATGCGAACCCTTAAAACACGCCTCCCGCTGTCACGTGGGAACGTACTAAGTTAGAATAAGTTCATGCTTGCCTTCTTTTTTAAGAGTTAGTGGACGACTCAGGTTATCTACAGGGCGATAAAAAAAAAAATGTCTTCTTATAGGCTCTATTATTTTCATTTTAGGGGCAGAGCCGAGGTCATCCAACTTGCTTTCAGTAGGAAACATTCCGTACGAAGACTTTTGTCGAGATATATGGGAACAGTGGGCTAATTAAAGAGAAACGTTTCGAGAATTTAATAAACTTCTCTGAAGATGATATTCATAAAGCCTTGCGGTTACAGAAGAGTTACATGTATTTTCTTATAAATCCATTGTCATTAACCATTATAATCCTGGCCAATAATTGTTACCGGATTTTGTTTTATTGGAGATCTCTATACCGGGATAATCATGATTGCTTTAAACACTCAAGCAGCGTTTACATTACGCCGCAGGAATTTGAAAACACAGCTTTATTTCTACCTTAAGGTCTACCGTCCACACTAATCCGTCACAAAAACGGAGCTTTTCGAAAACGCTCTTCAAATCGGAGGAATTTGAAAACGCTGGCTTTTTGTTTTCGTGTGGATGGAAAACATTTTGAAAGCATTTTGAAAACGATTGGCGGCGTTGACTTTCAGCCCCTGTCCGAGTTTTCCTCAAACACAAATCCAAAATGGCCGGTGATTGTTACGCGAAGAACATCGTTTGTTATATATACCGACCCATTTAAATTGTTAGACGGGGTTAACTTCATTATATATCGGGCTTTCACACGAAAAAAAGCCACAAGGAGACAGCTTTCTTTGGCACTCAGTGGTTTTATTCAAGCACTTGTTTGTCACAATACACTCTAGGAGACTGACGCACCATGCCACAGGCTATGCCAATTATATTTGTGTGACAGGTCGTTCTTTCAACCAGTTTTTAATGGCAGGAATATTCATGATGCGCTCATAGTGTTCTGCCAGTAAGGGAAACTTTTTGAGCTCCCCTGGAGTACTCAGTGGGTTACCAGGGTCAAACCAAGCGTAGTTTAGAGTATTGAAGACTGAAATATCTGCGTAGGTTAGCTGGAAAGAAACAAAAGAAACATTAGGTTAAAACAAAGAAAATCACAACCGAGAAGGAGGTTTGGATTCCCAGCACCTGCTCTTAATTAGCATAGATTTTGACGATTTTACTTCTCCGTTTTCTCCTTCGTTTTTGTTTCGATTGAGAAGATATATCAAACATTCCGGACAGTGTTTCACCGGCTATTCAATCACCTCGAATTTCGTCAGAAATACTCCGCCGCGCGTCGTGTCTTCAACTCTATTCTCGGTACTTGGATATCCCGATGATACATCGTCTCTCGTGCTTGATATATTACATGAAGGAGGAGCTACGTCAAGGGGTTTAAGCATCGTGAAAAATTTATAAGTTTCGCCGCGTGTAATCTGTGTCAATCTTCTCCATCCTTAACTATCCTTGTTCCTTTATGGTTTATTATTATATCTTTGGTGTTTTTCTATCTTAATAAACTACTATTTTCAGTTTTTCTCCAATGTAAAGGTACTTTTGTACGTGGTCAAAAAGCCATGAAGAGCTCTTCTAATCCCGCAAATATCTCTTAGTCAGTCTTAACGTTCAAGAGATGGAGCCCTGTTCTCCCGCGGATAAGTGTTACCACGCGCGTTGCGGGGATGTCTCTCATGCAAGATGAAACTGCGTGTAACGAGGCGTGGATTGTCCAAGTGAGAAAAATTCGCGTCACAGGGATCGAGTATAAATCTGCGTGATAATCGTCATCTGGTTTTCATGGCATTTTAAAATACGGGCACCTGGATATGAAAGTTTATGACATAAATTCTCTCTAAAAAAGTTTTCCAAAATACGACAGTACAAGTTTTCACAGCTAGACGGTCCCAGTGCCTCAACTTAATCATTAATTTTGTCGCCTCTCACCTTATCACCAACAAAGTAACCTTTCCCGCCATTGTTAGCTCTAAGAAGGTCCTCAAAGCACTTCAGGAAGCCTGGAGTAACGGCCTTCGCCTCTTCTTCCAGTTGCGCCTAAATCAGAGAATCAACAACAGCTGGTCAGCGGTAGTTACGAGGTAATCCCTAGTAAACATTCACAATGAAACGCAAGCCAATTTTCATCATGCTTTCAACTGAGAAGTACGAACAACTTCGACAAATACAAGCTATTAAACAATTAGATTATAAACTCGAGATTTCTATCGCGCGATAGTTGACGAGGGCGCATCCCGAGTCAACTATCACGCATAGAAATCGAGAGCGAATAATCCAATTGTTTTAATATAAATCTACTTGTCGTTCAAAACTTTATTTAAATCCTTTCCACAGACACTTCGAAAACGCTAAGAAGCGGCCGTCATTTTGTTAACAAGGGCACACTGCTACGCCACTCACTAGCTATCACAGAATAGATAGTGAGTAGCGTAGGCAATCAGAGAACGCCATCCATGATAGAACGCAAGTAGATTTATGCTAAAATGCGTATAGAAAGGTTTAATGCTATCTGTTATACGGAAGTCCAATCGCTACAAGAAGAGATTTTTAACTAAACGGAATATTTGGAAAACAGATTTACCTGAAGAAAAATTCGTAGGAAATAAATTAGGTTTCATGCTGACATTCGGTTGCACGAGCGGCTTAGATAACGGATTACCTTTTTTACTTCATCTTTTTCAAAGCGGGATGGAGTAATCTTTTGGGCAAAATCAGCACAACCATCAACAATCATGTCTGCTTGAGCCTTACCCCAATTGGCGGGCGGAGTTAAGCCTAGGCAGAGAATTAAAGTAAGAAAAAAAGACTAACAGCAACAACAACAACAACAAAAAAAACAGGATGATGTCTGAAAAAAAGCAGCTGAGAAAGTAAACTACTTAAAAATAGCTATGTAAAATTGAGATCGCAGAGAGAGAAGGTCTTGCTGTATATAAGACAAGATGCCATCTTAGGTAAAGTCTGCATACGAACCAAGTGGCCCATCACGCCGGAGCTTATCTCCCGTTTCTGTAGCATGAAGGGACTAGGAGTATTTCTACTCCCCCTGGATGGGATGCTTGTCCATTGCAGGGTTACCTACCCACCCCCCACCCCCCCTTAATTTCACCGGTAACCATTTCTACACCTGGGTGGAGATAGGCACTGTGACAGTTAAGTGTCTTGCCCAAGAACAAAACAAGATGTCTCCGGCCAGGACCGCTCGATCCGGAGTCGAGCGCACTAACCATGAGGCCACCGCGCCTCCCATTAAGATGTCAACTAATTAACCTAATTGACGAAATAACCTAGCGATAAATCGATGAGGAATCAACACGGCGAGACAATGAGAAACAAAGTGCAATCCTGATTTTAGAACCTTCGATTATTCGAAGCTCCCGATAATTTAAGGCAACGTTTTGAGCTCCTTTGGCAGAAGAAAAGTTATGAGAAATTTAACCTTGATTTCTCGAACCTCAAATGACTAAACTCTACCCAAAACGTTTGATCACCCAAGTGTTGTCCAAGAGAGCCTAAAGTGGAGATCCTAGTGGAGTACCCAGTTTTGGCCGTAAATTCCAACAAACATGGCATCTAACAGCGTTTATAATTTCGCATTTGCTGATCCAATCTCGTAGCCAGGATCTCTCGTCTTCCAGCCCTAACCTCGTCCCCAGGGTCTCTCATCTGAGACCCGGGAACGTGGAAGTTGCTTATCATTATTGTAATGAAGACCTACCGAATTCGTTGGCCACAAATCTAGCGATTGCAATCGACTGAGCAAGAAGTACTCCATCAACCTCCAGCAGAGGCAGCTGTCCAAAGGGCAGCTTACCAGCTTAAAGGAAATAAACACACACTAATTAAACCTAAAGAAGCTTTTAATTACTGCATGAACATTACCGAAAACTGAGTATAATTTATTTAACGACATCCGTAGGCCCCGTCGATGCACACTACGTCGGAGAAACGTGAAGAGCGTTTTCGGAAAGCTCGGTTTTCGTGACGGATTAGTGTGGACGGTAGGCCTAACCGTGGAAATAAACCTGCGTTGTAAAATTTTCGCTGGCGTAGAGCGGAAGGGACCATATTAGGACTAGTTAGTAGTCGCAGGGATAAATTGAAATGGGGAACTTTTTTTGAGGTGGGGGAGGGGGAGAACAGGGAATGTTAAATTGGATGAAGCTTTCTATAGGGAACATGGGAATTAGTTGGTGGAGGTCATAGAGTGAGGAGAAACCGAGTTACAGAAATACCGGAATTAGTAATAACGGGGTTTTCGTTGATGGAGATTTAAACGGGAGGTTGAATAAAAGATATTGTATTACTTGAAGTTTGTGTAGTGGAAGCAGAACGTGGCAATAAATAGGAAGTGCCAGAGTGATAGGAGGATCGTAGAATAATAAAACAGGGAAATTAGTGGGCATGGGTAAACGGAGGGGGGGTGGGCGGGGGTGATACCGAGGTAATACAGGAAAGCTTGTTGAGGAGCACGCTTTTACCAGGCAGAGATTTTTTTGAATAAAGTGAATAACAGCTAAAGTATAATATATGTTACATGCAATGTACTCGTTGAGACGGTGCTGTGAACTCCCAATGCAGAAACAGTTGAATTCAATTTCTGTGGTAAAGCACGGTTCAAGTTAATTTTCAAGACAGGAATGTTAGAGATTCCGCTTTGTTCTGTTAGTCCTGGCGAATTTGCATGGTATTTGAAGTTTAAATTTAAAAAAAATACATATTATTATTTAACATTACTGGAACGGAATTTTCCTGTTTCATGCAAACGTGATGTACATTGCAAAAAGGGACACCATTGTTTTTCAGTTCAGTGACCGATGACGACTTAAAGTACTTCAGGCTTTGAAAATTAAAGCAATTACATTTTAATTATAATTTTATCAATTGTGATTGAAAACGTCATTTCACGTAATTAAAAATAACCCAATTAATGGTGTATACGGTTGGACAGACAAAATAAATGATATTACATTGCATTGGTAACAAAAAAAAAAAAAAATTCCTGTCCGGTGATATAAAAGATGGTTGAAACAAAGGTCTGTATTCAGTGCAGAGAAAGCTCGCGGCAAGTACACTTCTTAATCGAGCTCTACCCATTTGTTTAGCGATAGCACAAAATGAAGACCTTCGGTTTTCTTGTAACGTTCTCGCTTGCCATCGTCTTGGCGAATGCCTTCTCTACCGAAGAACACGTTAAAAGGTTTTTCCGTCCCGAGCATAGAGCACTTCTGCCACACGCGACCAGCCTACAGCTCGAAGATGACTCCGCCGCAGTAGTGCCTGTAGAGAATGACGAATCTACCAAATGTTTGTCCGTCTGCGAACCACAGTGCAAAGTACTGGAGGTGCCAAATTACCTTACGGTAAATATCTCTCAAGAGATTTTGCTTTCCTCTCGGCGTTAAAGTAAGAAAAAAGAAAACCTGTAGTGAACGAAAATTGTCTCTAACTCTTTCATACAATTTTATTTTCACATTTTTTTACAGAACGCTTTGCGCGCAAGGAAAAAATGTTGCGCAGTTCTCGCATATGTAACCTTAATCTCTGTAGTTTTATTTGGGTATTTGTTTTCAACTTCCAAGAATTTGCGCATTTGTAAGTCTAGTGTTAAAACGATGTCTTCAGATATCAACTTGTGATTTTGAATTTGTTTTCTCCCATAAGGTAAACGCCAGCTTCCACAAATTTGAAGACACACCGATCAACTGTGTGCTGGCTTCCACGGTTGTATTCAAGAAGAAACCCAAGTACCAATGCCAATTCTTGTGCTTGTACCTGTTCGATTGCTGCCGTGCTTGCAATGCCAAATACTCCAAATGCCTCAAGCTGCTGAGCTTTTTCTACGGAGGACCAGAATACTGCTACAGGGAGAACTTCAAGTGCATGTGCAAATGTTTGGAGAAGCACAATCCCCCAGAGAATTATTACCGTCTCTACTGAAGTCGCTGTCTTTATACGTAGTTGTTTACTAGATACCATGAAATGTTTAATTTGATGCACTGGCTAGATTTTAGAAAGACGTTTTGGAACTAATTTTTTTACAGTCGTCAGCTCTCTCGTTATGTTGTAATGTAGTTGAGTCTATATTTTGTCAATTACATCTCCGAAAGCATGACACATCCAAGTCTTTTAAATTTTGTATTAACTGATGACTGCGTAATAAAATGTGTTAACAGGAAAATATGAGTGGATTTCAATTCTGTGTCATGGCGGTTTTGCAATATCCATCATCTCAAACTGTAGTACTGCCTTTAAAAACCTACCACCCAATACGTGTTTGCTCGTTATGTCTTCGAGACCTCGAAAAAATGGCAACTTAAAAAAGTACATTATATTGCCCCATGAAAAAATGAACTCAGTCAATCAACTCCGTTTCTTCTTCATCTAGTATTTTGTTTTCTTTGTTCTCTACACAGCCTACTCATTTAATATTTTCGTAAAAACTAAGTAAAGAGTCCCTAATGAATCTTTCGAACCTGACACGGGCACAAGAAATCAGTTGTAACGCGGTTTGAAACGTCGATTTAGCAGAGGTTTCCACTCTAGCTGGTGCGAAGAGAACTAATCAAACAATATAACAAAAGCGAACCGATATGACTTTGATATCAGCGTGTTTCTCCAATGAAAGAATGCAAAACAACTCGCTGGTTGTCAATGAAAGGCGAAAAGAAAGCAAACAATGTATTTGTTAATCAGTTCGGTTTATCTTTTCTTCTTGCTATAAGCATGTCAGTGAATTTCACTTTAATCATTGACATCAGTGTAGTAATTTGACGTAAAAATGCAAAAACAAAGTCCTTGAAAAGGCCAGCCCTTATATAACTCTTATGTTACCAGGTCGCTTTGGAGGAACAACAACAAAACATTCAGATGAACAAAAGGACTTTTAAAGTGTTTAATTCAGTCTCAGCAAACGTGCTCTACCGTGCGTCACTACACTAAACTCTTGAAAGTAAAATAACATACACTTGGAGATAATGAAACGCCGGATTTTCTTCCTGTTAGAGTCGACGCGCGTTCACTGGGCAAAAATGTTCGTTTAGAGTTGGTTTGAAATAATTGAAGTTAATTTTTGAAATTGGAATTACCCAAGTCAAGTTGAGGGAAAAGTTGGGAAAAGGTAAAATTGTAAGACAATGTTTCGTTCAGAAAAGTTCGATTACAATGATAAAGGCGAGTGCACCGTTACAAACCTATAGATATTCGCTTTAGTGGCCGGTGTAAATAAAAGTGGTTTCTGGAACGCTCTCACAGCTTTTAATTAAACTAATTAAAGGAAGTCTATCCAATGTTGACGACGCGAAGTATTTCGAAAACATGGACTGCTAAAAAAAAAACCATCATCATTCTTTGAGCGTCACGGTAAACACACCCAAAACAATTCACTCTTGCAAAACAAGGAAAAAGAAATTCCAACGAACAAAATGTCTTGTTGTCATAAAACACACGAAAGTCCATAATTCTGAGCGGTTTTTGCGTAAATTTGTACTTAAATTTAATTGCTGACATGTTTGCGTGTGTTTTAAGCTGGGACACTTTACTAATCATGGGTGATGAAACGCGATGTACAGATCGATGTACAACAGAGTAGAAAGTACATGTACTTTTATAGATGTACAATGATTTAGTTTTGCAGATACAACTTTTCTAAGATTTTATAAGCCTTTCTCTACTTTGCAGACATGCAAAACAAAATATAAAATAAAATAAGCAACTTCAGTTAATACAATGCAAGAAAACTATTTATTCCTTGGGTCAGCTCAGAGTCGTTGTAAAAACAAAGTCCTTGAAAAATCCACCTATAAATTCACACGTACGCAAACAGATTGCTCTCGAAATGAAAACGGGAAAAAATTCCGATTAACAAAAGATATTTTTTAGTTATTATGTTTTATACAAAATTATATTTTTTTTATTTGAAGTTTGGTTTCCGAAAACGTGCCACACCATACCAACCTCTTGAAAGTAAAATAACTTATTCTTAACAATTGAGGTACTTTTCGCGTTACAGTCGGCCGAAGCCCCATTGAGCGGCTAATTTTGTTAGTACAGAAAATGTTGTTCTGATCTTTAGGCAATTTATGCTCTGTTATAAAGTAAAATTGAACTGACCTGAATTTGAAACTTTATGTGCAATCTCTAAGACAACTTTTCGCTAATCTAGAAAAGTTCGATTGTAACATAACTGCAGCACACATGCTATAATTAACTATTATTCGCTTCTGTGGGTACGAAAGTTATCAAACTCTTCAATGACTTTCAATCAAACTAATTAAAGGAAGCCGTTAAAAGGTCATTACATATAAAACCAATATTCTTGTGGGTTGACCCTCTCACATACTAGACACAAAAACAATTAACTTCTCAAAAAGAGGAAAAAATTCCTAGAGACAAAAGATGCTTCTACGAAGCAAAACTTATACTCCAAATATTAGCTTATAAATCTTCACGATTTTCGGGTAATTTCAACAAACATAGACATGCAATGCCATTTTTGCTTTCAACACAAGCTTAAAACAAATCATAGAAATATAAATAATGTTAATATGTTTACCGATAACACATCGTCACGTCTGAAAAAAGTAATAATTAATGTAATGGGTCAATTAAATTTTGGTTACGTAGTTTCAGGCCAGCGACACGCATAGACAAGTGATTAAGTTCCGCTCTCGTCATATAAAAGCTTTTAACCCACACCCAACACATTCAGTCCTCAATTGCCTTTTCAAACGACGTTCTCGCGAGCCCGTTGCGTTCTGAGTTTGCCAACATGAAATCTTCGTTTTTAAGTCTTTGCATTTTTGCTGCGGTCATCGCGGTGGCAAGAGGTTTCAGCAGCGAGGAAGCAATAGACGCCTTTAATGAAAAAAATCCAGATAACCTTGAAGCCCAACTGGAGAACTTTGAAGACCAACAGGACTCCAATGATAGCTCTGGCTCAAACCCTCACGACTGTGACTGTGGTGGAGTCTGCGACGCCCTTCACTACACTCGACTCCCAAAAGTTGTTCGGGTAAGGATGAAATAACCAATCGAGTCTTGAGATATTTCTCTTGTTTTTCGCAGTACAAGTCAAATATGTACATAC